CCCCCCCCCCCCCCCCCCCCTAATTTCCGCATCTCAGAACAACAATCCATAAACGACCCTTTCCCGAGAGACTGATCTCATGGAATGTAACCGTATGCGCCCCCATCTAGTTTTTCCACCATTGATCGTAAAGGGCACCCCTGTTATAGAAATGCTAGGCCCTCAACCAAAACACCTGACCTCTAAAAAGAAGACTGGAATCAAAACCTTAGACCTTAAACCCTAAGACCTAAACTGCTAAACCCCAAACCATGAGCCCTAAATCCTAAGCCCTAAACCCTAAACCCTAAACCCTGAACGCTAAACCCTAAACGACCCTAAACCCTAAACCCATAAGCCCCAAACCCTAAACCCTAAACCCTCAAGCCTAAACCGTATAAGACCTAAACCTTTCACCCTTAACCCTCTAAACCCTAAACCCTAAACCCTCAAACCTAAACCCTATAAGACCTTAACCCCCTAAACCCGAAACCCTCTAATCCCTAAACCCTAAGCCCGAAACCCACATTGCAGCTGAGATCACCTACGGGTGCGCGGGCCCAGTCCCATGAATCCTTTGCTATCGCAAAGCAGGCGTAGGCACTTTTGGCTTAGGCTTTAGGGTTTAGGCTTTGGGGTTTAGGGTTTAGGGTTTGGGGTTTGGGGTTTAGGGTTTAGGGTCCAGGGCTTCAGGGTTAAACCCTACACTCTCAACCCCTTGGGCCCTTTTTGTCGTTCAGTTCGGGTGGTTCGGGGTTCGGGAGTTCCGGAATTCGGGAGGTTAGGTTCTAGGGTCTCCTTCTTCGATTTAATTGAGGGAGTTGGGTTACGATGCAGACGGCATCATCATGGACGATACCTGGGCTTCCCAAAGGTAGAGCAATTTAGCAGACATTTGTGCGCTTAATCCCTCTATTATGGGTAATGCAGGACTCTGTTCGTCATGGACAAACCCAGAATCATCATAATGGAAAAAAAGAGCTGATGAATTATTCTCCTGAAACCCACCTGATATATTGCTACTACATGAAGCCGACCAACTTTTGATCCACAAGCCCGAAATCCATACCCCATACCCCAAACCCCAAACACCCAAGGCTAATCCCTGGCAGTCTTGTTTGCTCTTGGCAGATTATTACGCAGTTAGATACGTGATATCGTGTTTGATTATACCCCTTCTGAAATCCCTCTAAACGAGCCCTGCTAAAAGCCGGCCTAATGATTCCCAGACTCCCCACAAGCCGACCTAGAACCCTAAACCCTAAACCCTAAACCCTAGACCCCTAGACCCTAAACCCTAAACCCTAAACCCTAGACCCTATACCCTAAACCCTGGACCCTAAACCCTAAACCCTGAACCCTAAGCCCTAGACCCTAAACCCTGGACGCTAAACCCTAAACCCTACACCCTACCTGGAACGCGCCGGTTGTGCACAAAACTTGGAACTGATACCACGAATGGCAGTTGCAATATTTCTAGGCAACAGGGGGGGTGTTTCTGCAACTGGGGGCTCGAAATGCTCTCAAGAGCATCATAGATGTGGTTGTCTTATGGTTTATACCACAAATTATCTTGATCAATGCTATGTAGGCCCCTTCCAAAGGATGTAACCTCTTCGCATGCTAGAGGGAATGTGGCTTGAAGTCACACAACTATGCGACTTTAAAGACAGGCTAGGCTCAGCTAGGGCCATTGATGCCTGTAAATACGCCACCCTAGAATCCCTAGAATCCTAGAACCCTGAATACCCTAATTTTTCTTAAACCTCGAAACCCTAGAACCCTGAATACCCTAATTGCCTAAACCCTCGAAGCCACGAACACCAGCTTCTTTTCCATCAATGGCCGTCGTCACGACTGTGCACCTGGCCGGGGAGGACCAGCGGGATTGATGCTTGGGTTTTTTTGGTTTCGGGTTACTTCAGATTCGGATTACCTGCTTCAGTTTACAGAAGATCTCGAGATGCTTACTTATTGGTGATTCTGACACCCCGAAACCTGCACGCGAGGATGCTACATCGCCGACTTCATGCACATCTTTATCGGCAGTTTGAGGCCAGCTGTTCGTGGGTTCAGATCAGAGTTTTGCCGGATGAGTCTAGAACATAGTTCGCTCGATCAAAACTTAAGTTTCCCAACCCCTCATATTCCTTGATGCAGGCACCGGCCATGATTGGATTCTTCATCTACTTGGGCAAGGTGGGATCGGCTCGCTTATCGTCTTAGGCCCTAGAGAACCTTGTAAAACAGAAAAGCCTAGCTTCCTAAAACCCACAAGCCCAAAAAAACACCTACAGAGCCCATTAAAGGCCTATTCTCCTTAGCCCGAATGCCTTATCTAAACCTACAAACCCCGAACCCCCGCATAGATCTGCTAGCAAGCTATAGCCAGCAGGAAAGGTGCAGTGCTTGTCGTCATTCCGGTTCAAAGGGTCGTTTGTAGTTTAGGATCCCGGGGCTTTGGAGTCATGACGATGCTGCCCGTAAAGTTTCGGAAGCTGAGCAAAGCATGGCAGAAGCTGAAGCTGAGCAGTTCCCGGATGAAAGCGAAAAGCAGCTGGCTTCGATGGGAAGATAGCTCCGAGGAGAAGGATGGCGAGGCTAATGCTTCAACTCTTCAGTATAACTGTGCAATCGTTCATTGCATGGTGGAGTGCTTGCAGCAGCTGGACTTAATCTCCATTGACAAGATTTCTTTGTGTGCTCTTTGCTTGCACTAGATTGGTCGCTCGATGTGTTGAGTGAAACATCTGCTTCAAACTCCAACATAAGCATGTTCCTCGCACCGAATTCAAGGTTGAAGACTTCTACAGCAACATGAGCTGGGACATCGGCTCGGGCCGCATCTACAAGGACGCATGGGGCCTTCGGAAGCTGTACCCCTACGCTTTGAGACGGGAGCTCGACTGCTTCAAGCGACAGCAAACACCATCCGAAATTCAGCAGGATTACATTCTTGTCTAGGTTGAACTGCAGCTACTGCACATGACCATTGTAAGTTATGATTCTGCATTGCAACTGAGGGCACCCAAGTCCAGGCACTATTTAAGCTTATCCGCCACCTTCGAGAGAGCCTCCCGCCCCCGGATCGCAAGCTCAAGGGGATTTGCAAGACCATTGCAGAGAAGAAGAAAGCAGAAGCAGAGGCCGGAGAGGAGGAGCATGAGTGCCAGGATGAAGGAGAGCAGGGAGAGGAGGAGGAGCCAGATGATGATGAGTGTTTGGATGTTAAGGAGATTAAGGCGGGCAAGGATGCTGGGGGCTCCCCGGTTCGTCGCCTGCCAAAGAAGACGGCGACGAGCGCCGAGGATGTGCTTTACCTGGGCACGGCGAAGTCTCAGGAGCAACGGGAGCTGGATGATATTATGGAGAAGATACGGCTTCTTGAAATCGCTCGGTCTGAAGCTTACCTATAGACCTATAGCCATCAAACCTAGGGCTCCATGCCGCAGTTCAGTCTCATGAGCCTTCTTGGGGTATCTGCAAAGGCCCGGGAAAAGAAAGTCTCCATCGGCGACTGCCACGCCTAGCCCTGCTAGCCGCTTTGCTAATGTAGATTCTTTCGTGCAATCGATCAACCGAGAGTTGTGCAACATCACTCTTGGCTGCTGCTGCTGCTGCTGCTGCTGCATTAACAACAAAGGCACGGCAACCACCCCGTCGACAACGAAGAGGCTGCGATCTGCTAGAGCTTCACCGAAAGGTATGGACCAGGACTGTATCTGAGACTTGAAATGTGCTTATATAGCATAACACACAGAGACACACACTAGCATGGTTTGTCCAAGCGACATTGCATGACTTGACTGATGAAGTGCATTAGTCAGTTTAGCTAGTACACTACATTTGCCTAGAGATGGGACTTGTGCAGGATGAGACGCAGCCTGTGGACATTCGCCTTGTGGAGTCCCCGCCCAGCACCTCGGAGCGAGAGACTGGATCCAGGCGAAAAGAAAAGCTCGCGAGAGCTTTGCCGTTGCCACAGGAGCATTGCAGCATTGTAAACATGTAGTCGTGACTTCTTTGACTGGTATCACTGCGATATCTGATGACCATTCAATTACCAATGCCCTGGCAGGACCCTGATCTGCCTATGGTGGACCCCTTGATGCAGAAGCAGCTACGATCGAAGAAGAAAGACAGTTTGGCCCCAGGCAAGCCCAAAAAGAACCCGAAGCCCAAGGCGAACGATGAGGGTTCGTCCGCGAGTCCGACGATGGCTATGAAAGTGTCTGGAAAGGCCAAGGGCAAGCAGCCCGCCGAGAGAAGCACCGGTGCCGATGCAGCATCCTCGAAGAAGGACCTCCGGAATCGCAAGCAGGACGGCGAGGCTGTTAAAGGCAAACTGGGGTGCCCAAAGTGTCGCTACTCTGGTGGTGGATGCTCAAACTGCCGCAATCCTAGCTACAGACCTCGTGGGCCACGAAAGAGTCGGCCTGCAACCCGGGGAAGCTGAAGCTGTGCTGGTTGTGAATTGTGATTCTGGATAGTGTTTATTGAAATCGTTTCAATAATGCAGCTGTTGATTCTTTTGTGCTTGCTCAGCACCAGCCCTTTTCGTGGGATTGCCAATGCGACTGCACGCTAGACTCTATGTGGATGCGAAATGGACAAACTCAGTACACTGTGCAAAACCTCACGCCACACATACATGTCTGCCCTCAGTAGCTACTGGTCGCATCCAAGCAGAACAGTGCAGCTGGCATGGCACCGGGGTTTAGATTAGACGCATACCAATCCGAGTGTGATCAAGGGCTGCCCAGCTGTGGTCGTGCCACAATGTGCTGAACACGTTGTGGTGGTGCTGCAGAAGAAAGAGAATCTGAATCAGTGCGAGAATATTGTGTTTCATAGGAGCCCACATGTCTGCAAGCATTTGGCGACATTGTCAGTTGCAATTGCAAACCAAGATATCATTGTCACGTGTCAGGTCGTTGCAGATGGGCAAGATCTTCAAAGGCAAGCCGAAACGTGCCCCAGCGACTGCAGTGACTGTGCACGTGCTTTGTTTGTGATACTAGCATGAGCTTTGTGCATGCTTCGCAGATTCACGCGGTCCGGGAATGCACTCGTGGGCGATCAGTGCTGCTTCTGTGCTCTTAGCTTTGCGGGGCCCCGGTTGTAGTCGCCATGGTCCTTGCCGACGGCCGACGAGAGGTTATCCTTGATGCTCTTGTTGCCGGCGACGCCCCCACGGCATCTAGATTGCATCTATCATGTTTTGATACGATCGATCTTTCATCACCACTGCAAGCCTCCTGTTCAGGTGCTGACAACGATATTCACGATTGTCAGCTACTTGCCGCTTGACTATACCGAGGTGGGATGGACCGGTTTCTGTGTGAGTTCTCACGATTTAGAAAACTTTGCTCAAATGCTTCTTGATTCTGTGCAGGAGTATGAAGCCCTGGAAATGCATGGTGGGGAGGCAAATGTGACCTCTACGATGAAGAAAAATGGAATATCCGTGGCCTCGATTACATGGGGCCCCGACAGCCTCGACTTCATGTCACACGGCTTTCCGTGCCTTCGAAACCTTATCATGCATTGTAGCTTTGTGTCGACACCTGAGGTTTATGCTGTGTTGCATGCTGAAGCTGAAGCCTGGAAGCATTGTACATGCAAGATCCATTGGGGGGGTTCAGATGGCAGACAAGCAACTCATCAGCATTGGACTTTGTGTTCATGGGTTCTCTCGAAATGTGCTTGTCAAGACCAAACTCTACCCGAGGCTAGCTTTGGCATTGATGCTGGCACAGGCTATGAGGCTGACATGGACGGTGGAGGTCCCTCATTCCCGCCTCATCCAGGAGCACCACCGATGGGAACGCTTGACCTCGCGGGCGAGAGTGTTTCGTGTCAACTTTTGGTCTCGAAGCAACGACCACTTAAGGAAAGTCCGGCTGTACTCGAACTCCAGGGCAATTCTTATCTATCATCCCACTCGTACGGCAAAGCGATCATCCATTGTTTGCAAGAAGAAGGGGCCACCTATTTGCACAGATGTACTAGGGGCTATAGGGTTTATAGGGTTTAGGGTGGCCCAGTCCTAGACCCCACTTTGCATCTGAGGCGACGCAATGGCTTTGCCGAGATCTACAGCACGATGTTCCAGAAAGGCCGCTTCAGGCTGAGGAGCTTAGCAGCTGGCATCAAATATACCATGCATATGTTATGTGGTTTATGTTGTGATGTGCTTGTCGTACATGAATGCACCACATACATATTTATCTTTATTGATCTGGTATGTGCATACACATATACGTACATATACTCATGTGTGTGTGTGTGTACTTGTGTGTGTGTAAGTACGTAGATGGTAGGTAGCTATAGATATGTATGTAGGTATACAAACCTAAGCAAATATAGATACCTAAGCAACTATATATAGATAGATAGATAGATAGATAGATAGATAGATAGATAGGTAGGTAGATAGATAGATAGATAGATAGATAGTTAGATCTGTGTCTTTATACACTACATGTAAGCTTGTGTGCATGTCTGTACGCATGTATGTAGTTGTATGTGTATGTGTCTGCATATATCGAGTATCTGTGTCAGTGTCTCTATCTGTGTATGTATAAGTGCATGCATGCATATGTATATGTGTATATGTACATGTACATGCATGCATGGATGCATGCACGCATGCATGGAGTTAGGTGTGAATGTGTATGTGTTTTGTGTGTGTGTGTGCATGCATGGATGTGTATATATGCATGCATGCACACGCCTAGAGGCCACAAAGTGTCTAGAAGCCTTTACATGGCTAATCCTGAACCCAGAAGCAGTCTTGGTAGATGTGCAAACACGAAGCCCATCCTCAATGAGACAAGGTGAGTCTCATTGTCCTACTCGAAAAACGATTGATATAGACAGGCTGCTAGCATAACCGTTATGTCGTACTAATCCCACAACTATCCCAACACCCGAAATGCAAACACTTGTCAATGCAAGACCATCTAAGCACCGAGCTGCCCGATGCCCACTTTCTCTTCGTGACCTTTGCTTCTGTCCGTCTAGCAGCGAAGCCTAAACACTCATATATTGGAGCCGGTCTCTTTCGCTCTCTCTTTCTCTCTCTCTCTCTCTTCTCTCTCCCTCTCCCTCTCCCTTTCTCCTCCTCTCCCTCTCCCTCTCCCTCT